CCCAATGCTCTCACCCAGGCATTCGTCCCCTGAACCCAGACATGGGGCGCATGCATGCTTGCATGACACACAACCAACAAAAGCTAGGTTGAGCTTCTTACTTTACTTTCACAGCTCATCTCTCCAGTTTTTCACATGTACGCTTTTTAAACTGCTAAACGGTATTTTTTTCTTCAAAAAATTACTTTAAAAATCATTTAATTCTTTTTTTTAAAAAAAGTAGTTAATACTTAGTCATGTGTTCCGGCATACATCATTGTGTGTGCTGGAAAGGAGTGGTTACCAACCCCCTCCTTCCGAACACAACCCTAGTGGACCCAAAGACCAAGCGCGGGAATACAAAATCCATCGTGCAAGCATGCCAACATCATACCAACGCATGAGAATTTCGGTCTCTTCGATGAGGTCGGTTCATAACAGACAAAAACTAATCTACACACCGAACACCGATCTACATCAAAATAAAAGCCAATGCACCAGCCAAAAACCATGAACACCGATAATTCAATTCGGCTCGATGCGGTCATTTTTGGTGTTGGGTGGCCGGTTTATTTATGCCCGGGTGGACATATGGATGGATGGACATGATAGTGTAGCATCTGGTCATGTGGTTCAGTAGCTTGAATTTGTGACAACCATCAGCTTATAAACACATTCGTTTGCACAAGTTGCGTATACATATCAACATATAGATCCGCATACTGTCACGCGACTCCTCTATGAGATGAGAGGCTCTCTCTCCACACGATATGATTCACTCCAAAATCGGGATCAGGGTTTAGCTAGCCATCAGCGACAAAGGACCACCGGATGCCAAGGCGGGGGTACACGTGTGAAATCATGCAACTCTTCAGGAAAGCATGTTGGATAATTACGCTCTAGGCCCCCGATTCCCACGGCCCCGGCCTAGTGTAGGCCACCCTGCTACAATGCTGCCGAAGTGAATGAGGTGCAGCAGTGCTTGCGAGTTGTACGGTAGTGATCTAGCAATCGCTGTGTGCAAAATCGTCAAATCATAGTGATTAGCGCTGCCCATTAATCAATGAATAAAAAGCAAGCCGTTTAGAGATCATCAATTGATAAACTATACAATCATACAAACTATATGATATGTTTATAGAAATAGTGGATCATACACAATAATTGGTTAAATGTGTGGTTTAAAACTATTGGATCGTAATCTCTAGGGTCATGTGTCACGTGTCAAAAAACCAACTGGTTTTATACAATTTGGAGCATAATATATATGGTTTTTTAAAATTTATTCTTTCCTTTTTCTATTATCAGTCTATTCTCTTGATATCATGTCATCGAGAACTTGAGTATATATGAACCAGCCATAATAGAGAGAAAAAGAAACAAATAGATCATATTATTTAGATGTTTATATATTAAGGGCCTCTATTGTTACTTTGTCTCTCACCGCGGCGATAATGACTCTTCTATGTACCACAAACCTAGGTGTACCGAAAACCTAGATGCAGCTTGATCCATACATTTATTGAAATATGTACCACAGCTTGATCCATGTCATACACCATATATATACCACCCCCATATATTACGTGTACTCGATCGGCACCTTCCACTTCCTACCCGATCATAACATATTAACCTGTGCTACTCTATTTCGTGGGCTCCTGATCAAGTTAAATAGTTCGCTGAGAAAAAAGTCCTCGACCTCAATCTTTTCTTGTGTGTCCAGCTGAGTTTGACACTTTGTTAGATCGAGCTGCCCAACACGTTGGCATGCATGGAGCGATGGAATCGGTCCATGTCGCACATATACGCCCCTCAAACCTGAGAAATCCCTTGCAAGTTAAATTCGATCGGAATTGGTGGCATCGGGAAAACACAATTTCCATTTACGAAAATTCAGGCGCCCTCCCTCATCCCGTCTAGTAGTAAATACACACATCGCCGGCCGTCGGCTGCCAGGCACCCTCCTTCCCGTTTGTTCTTCGCTCCGGCCATCGATCACCACCAGTTGGCACTGAGTCAGATACAGCGAACAATGCATGAGAAACTTACACAGTAATTACAAAATCACAAGAAGTCTCACCTTTTTTAACTCTAAAGATACATCTAGTTTTCAAGAATATATCAACGAAAATATCCTTCTGCCTCGCTTCTAAACTCCTTGGTTATCACACTTTCATACTTTGCGACCTCCTCCAAACTAATGTGATTGTCAGCCATTCAGTCATCTAGTATACTAAGCTAATACGGCTGTTATGTGTACATTACTTACTTGTAACATACATGGAAATCTTAATTGCTATATTTATGCACATGATCAGGAAACTTGAAGGTTATTTTCCTATAACCAAATATACCCATATATCGATTTATAACACAACTACATTCCCCATAATCAAAACATTAAACTCCATTGTCAATCTGAAATTCATTTTTTATATATAACATCATCAAATTACAAGCTTACTGCTTACAGTACAAATCTAAAGACATATATAGTGTGGGATACACGGTACCCGGGTATCAAGGAGAGGCCTCTGGGCCGTATAGTATAGGGTGGGCCAAGAGCACTAGGTCCATGCGGTATGCTTGTAAATAAAGAAAGAGATTCCCGGAATAAGATATAAATCTCGGGGATCATGCATATTTTTATAGATAGAATAGGAAGATCTAGTTGCAATCAACTAGATATTTTTCTTGTAACCCTCTCCCATCATCCTATATAAGAGGGGGAGGGGTCCCAAGTCCTACCTCATCTCGAGGGTCTGAACTAGGATAAACACCTGCGTCACCATCTCTTCTTGATCTTGCACCCCATAAAATATATTGCCGATCATAGAAATCGACATATAGCATCAAATTAAATCTAGCACATATCACACCATTAAAAACATTCCTCAATTTCTCTAATCGATGGCACAAATCAAATCTTTAACATAGGAACAAAATTAATTGATTAGGAAAATAGATAATCTTGCTCATGAAGAGGCCTTCCTAAAGAATTCCCTAGCCATATGCTTCATTACCTGAATCAATCCAGTGCAGACGACTGTCGGCGATTCCACAACCAATGCAGGCAAGCTGCTGGCGGGGAGGGCAGAGAGGGTAGCGACGAGACCGGGGTAGTGCAGATAGGCAGCCGGCGGGGAGGGCAGCGAGGGGAGAGCAGAGAGGCGGCCGGCGGAGAACGCACCAAGGAGAGGCCGCCGGGCTCTGCTGCCACTTGCGACAGGGTTCGTCGGCGGCGGGAGTTTGATTTGCGCGGTGCAGGGGACTAGAGGGTAGCGGCGACGGCTTATCGACGGCGGAGCTATGGCGGCACAGTGCTCTTCACTTGCGATGGCGGCATTGACGAACATATGGGGAAGGGCAGCGAGACCTTGCAGCCCATGAACACACGAAATTACAAATTTACCCTTTCACCAAAATTAGAGGAAAGGTCGAAAATGCCAAAAAAATCAACGCTAAGATATAATCTTACTATACTACTACACGTAGCAGTGGAGGCACCATAAAATGTACCAATAATTTACTTATTGTACTCGAGTTGGTATGTCATTCACCGGTGCATAGATAATAACCACATTAATACAACATGTGTGCATTGCCAGTTAGATACTTGCTCTGCTCCTTTCACGTTAGTTTCCTGCTTAATAATAACGTTTGACATTCTCAATGTTTAAGTTCGTAGAGGCTATAAGGTTGGAACCATATATATTTTTTATAATAGCATATGCTACAATGCTAATGATTTTTTCTTAACCTTAATTAAGGTGGAACCCACTGAGGAAAACATATTTTTACCTTTTAACATGTAGGATTCAAAGACCAACATGTACATTACAAACATACAACAGCATTTTATTTCTTATGGTGCAGTCTCAAGCTTAAGGTTGTACTCTCTCATTTTCTCCTCTCCCAATACATAAAGTCGTAATATAAATATTACTTTTTGCATGCACATTGTGGATACCCTTAGCCCCGTCGGTTACTAGCAAGCTTGCTCTACCAGATTACTCGTCGGTTACTAGCAAGCTTGCTCTACCAGATTACTCCAGTTTGTTCGAAAAGAAAAAAAAAGAGCCCCAAATTATATGTGATTTTATAAAAATAACCTGACCATTTTATTGTGCCCCCGAATCAAAAATTGATGGCAAATTTTGCTACAGGACATCGCGACTTTGTGGAATTAGCTCCAGGACACCGCACGAAGTGAGTTTTGGGGGAAGACACTCCCAAAACATGGCTATTTGACAGAGGACACCGCGCCATTTGTTTAGTATATTTGTGCTGACTAGGCTTGAGCGGGCGACGCGACCGGACCAAATTACCCTGCACATCTAAAGTCTAATTTCCCTCCCTCGCGCTACTGTACATCTTCAACCTCCAGCTCTCGTGCCCATGGGCCACACCACCGCCTCCCCCTCTAAATTCGGCCGATCCCGTTGCTCGTTTCAGACATTGATTGAGGGGATTTCTTCCCCTTATCCTCCTCTTTCTTTCCCCTCAAGAATCGGAGCAAATCTCGTTGAATATTGCGTGGATTCGAAGCGGATTTCATCTCCTATTTTTCCGGCGAACTTAACCAATCCGTTCAAATCCCGTGGAATATAGCGTGGAGCGTGCTTCTGTTGCCGGTGCTGCTTACTGCCGCTGCCGCTGCTGCTCGCTGCTGCTACTGCCGCTGCTGTTGCTGTGCCGCTTGCTGCCGACTGCTGCTGCCGCTGCCGCCGCTGTTGTTGCCGCTGCTACTGCTTCTTGCTGCCGTTGCTGCATGCTGTCGGTGAGGGGAGAGGGAGAAAGAGAGAAGAGAGATAAGGAGCGCTGCATGCTGTCGGTGAGGGGAGGGGGAGAGAGAGATAAGGAGCTGACATGTGTGGGTCCAAGGATATTTTGGACATTTCACGTGATTTTTCTCTTCTTTTCAATCGGAAATTATTATTTTAATGGATGCGGTGTCCGCTGGCAAATAACCATGTTTTAAGAGTGTTTTTCTCCAAAAGTAACTTTGTGCGGTGTCCTGAAGCTAATGTCATGTAGCAAAATTTGCCAAAATTGATACGCAAAGCTCGACCGAACTTCCACGCACACATGAGCGGCAGTGAAGAAATCAGCCCATTTCACACATACGCGCCCCCTCGCTTGAGAAATCACTGGGAGTGATCGATTCGAATGGGCGGCATCAGGAAAACTGAGAGCACCACCACCGCTCGCGGATCGAGCCAGGAAGCATCTCCATGTACGTACGCTGCAAGCAGGATTTTGGTAGCTGGCGTCGTCCCAGCGCCACTGGCTGCAAGGCTCGACAAGCCTCCAGGCTGCCAGTAGTTCAGTATGTCTTGGTTTTACATGCTACTCGAAAATTTGACAAGGGGACATTTGATTTGTAGGGAAAATATATGAAGTTGTGAGGATTTCGATATTATATAGAAAAAAAAATATAAAATGGACTTTGAAACAAATGTTGAATCTTATCTCTTTCTTCGAAATTCATATGAAATGGGCCATGCTATAAAAGATCGTGGGGCTCCGTCTTTCAGGTGAACTTTTGGACCAAATGAGAGAGTCGAATGGGATGAACTTAGGTTAACCATAGAGAGAACATGCACTTCTTAAGGCCCTGATAAGCTGATCTGGGGCCTGGAGAAGAATAAGATATTCACATCTTAATCCTTATACAGAGATCTGACTTCTATAGGTATTAATGATGCTAACATGAAGCTAGTATGTGATGCTCCTGTCCAATGAAAATTAAACATTTTATCTGCTATCTGAAAGGGATAGAATTTAATCTGCTGAATAACTTAGGAAAAAAGGCTAGGAGAGCTCTGAATTTTGCGAGCTTTTGATCCATTGGAAACTTCTAATCACATCTGTTTTAATTGTCCTATGGTAGCTTTTGTGTGGTGTATCTGTAGAGATGCTTTGAGTAAGAACAACATTATTCCTCTTTGCTTTATGGATTTTTTTCAAGCTGATAGAGACTAGGGTTGGCATCAAGAGTATTAGAGTTAAAATTGGTTTGCTTGCTGCTGTCTGTTAGAATTTGTGGCTTATCAGAAATAACATGATATTTAGTAGGAAACTAGTTTAATTACACCCCCTTATCCACACCATATTAAAATTATCTCTCATCTGTTGCAGTGGACTTGTCACGCCCAGAAATTCGCTAACCCGAATTTCAAGCAGAATGTGTATTAAATCTCTATCCAGGACCAGCTAGAGTACACAAACGATAATTTGATACAATTCCACGTCTTACAAAAATAACAAAATAAAACTCATACGCAGTGGAAAAACAAAAGAACTAAACTTAATCTTCATGACCAAAGCGAAGCTTCCTCCATAAACCACAGGCAATCCTCGATGTCCGGAACAAGCTCAATCCTAAAAGAACTCACCATCTGAACCAATCTTTTGCTTCCACGGGAGAAGGGGGGGATAAAGCAAGACTGAGTACCAATCACCGTACTCAACAAGTCATATCAACGGAAAGGTACGATGCAAGGATATTCACAAAGGAATGGAACCATAGGATAGTTTGTAGTAAAAGCAGCGTTTATAAATCATAATTTGAAATAGTAGAAACAATATATAATTAAGCTGTATTAAATCATCACTGTCCAACGCTAAATTCACGTTGCAACAAGCCCAACCAAAACCATCTGAACTACACCAATTCTATAAGTCAAATCATTATAGTGGGACTAATCATGGTGAGCTGGATGACCGCCTAATAACCGCGGGCACGGCTATTCGAATAGTTTTAACTCTGATTAGAGGTGTACAACTTTACCCACAAGACACAATTCCACACATTTTACCATGCCCCGAAGTATCACCAATATACTGTAAAGGGGGAAATCATGATAAAACCCGTCATATAACTCTCCCTAACCGAACATACCCACCTCAGGTTTCACCCCCTCCTGTGCCAAGTCGGACAGTCCCCTCTTGTACCTAGATAAATCCGGCTATAGCAGAGACCAAAGCTAGGTCCGAACTGCACCATCGCCTCTACCTTTGCCATGGTATGTCAGTTAGGTTAAGTTACTTTAGATTCAGTCTGGAGCCCATCTGGCCTGTGGTGAGTACAAGTATATCTTCTAGGGATTCACAAGAACCATCTATAGTTGTCATGGGCACGACTTCCAAATCATGCATGTACCCATAACCCACCATTAAATCATATTTTAGTTTAATTAAACCATAACCATGGTGGTACATCATAATATAATGAAGGACTAAATTATAATGAATCCTATTATGAGCTAATTGATCTAAGCATGGCTAAGCATTCCTAAACCAATCATCTAGTCAAATATAATCCAAGTTATCAATGGCATAAGATAATCAATAGGCTGAGTACAATAGGCATCCATCCCACATGACATTCTAAAACCATGCAATTTAATATAAAACAAGGGATTTTTTAAAATAGGCTCGATATGATCAATGATGTATGTATAACTTGCCTTGCTCTTGAGCTGACTGAACCTCGGTAACCACTTCAAAATAATCTGGATCATCAGAATTGACGGAATCTAAACGACAAACAAAACACACAATAAATACAAAACATAATACTACTGAAACAGCAAAAGAAACCAATTATATTCAATACATTTTAACGGATTCACTACAATTTGAATTGATTAAAACGGAGCTCGGATTATTTAGTTATCAATTTTACAAGATGAGCTGCATTATTACTAATAACCGAAAAACCTTAGTCAATTATTACATATTATTGCCCATAGACAAATAGATCAATGGAAATAAACCTCCGGTAAGCGAGCCTCACGAGAAAGTGACGCAACGAGTCAACTCATCGTGCCATGGGACCATCCAAACAGTCTACCAAACCAGCGAACGGAACCGACAGCTCAGAACGACTCAAACCTAGAGAACGACTCGAATGACCGAACGAACTATGGCTTTGGCCAAACTACGGGCGAACGACGGTTAGCGGCTTGGCGTCACGACAAGGCAGCAGAGGTGGCGACGCACGGCTAGGACGGCTCGGCTCGGCATCGGCGCGGCACGGTAGGGTAGCGGCGCGGTAGCGGCAGTGGCCGGCGACGGCGCTAGGGCGGCAAAGCAAACGGCACGGTGGCGGCATGACGACACCACTAGGGTTTGACGACTAACACTAGGAAAACTAACACCTAAATCAGGGGATCATGATTAGGAGCCTCACCAAACCAAGACGATCAGCGAGAAGGAGACGACGACGACGATCCGGCGGCAATACGCAGAGACGACGATGACGCTAGACAACGAGGGATTAGGTTAGATTAAACCCTAGGAACAACACACGCCAACCAACCATACCGGTGAGAGAGGAGGGCTGCACACCGGCGACACAACAATGATGACGGCGATGGCGGGAGGTGGCGCACCGGCGGGCGGCTCCGGCAACATGGGGTGGCAGCCAGCGGTGACTAGGGCGCGAGTGCAGGGAGGTGGCGGTGGCTAGGGCTAGGGCTCCAACAAAATATGAAAAACAGGAAAAAAAACAGGGGGTATGGTGGCTTATAAAGGGGTGGAAATAAAAGAGGGAGGTGGGGCCGATGGGGAGTCGGATTAGGAGGGAGAGGGGAGGCCGACTCGGATGGGGGAGGGGAGGGCACGCGGCCGGCTAGGTGAGGGAGAGGGAAAAAAAGGAATATGAATTTCTAAAAAGGAAAATAAATGCGGTGCCGTTTTAGGGAAAGAACAGAAACGGACCTGCGAACAAAAACAGACACGGTTCGCCATGCAAAACGAAACCACGGACAGAGAGGGGAGTGAATCGGGCACGATTCATGACCAAAGGCGGGAGAGAAAAAATAATTACTTCAAATCTTGACAAATTAAATTAACAACATTAACTCAGATGCTATGAATATTGCGCTTTAAGTCCTGTTAGTGATTTTAGATCAAAGAGAATTCGAAAAAAAATTCTCCCTAACAATTCCAATTATTAAACACATTGTTAATTAAAGTTTTCTTCTAGTTAACCAAGGTAATTTCTATAGACGATTTATTGGTGAATTAGAACTACGAGAAAGGGGAAAACTCCGGGTGTGACAGGACTCCTTTGCTTCGTCATGAAGAGGAGGAAATGATGAAGCTAGCGACAAGGCTGAAGGATACCATTGCTTTGCTAAGTCCGCCAAGAGCCAGAGTGCGATGACTTTAGAGGTTTTTTTCCGAAGAACTTGCACCGGACAGCGCGAAGTTCATATTGATAGAGCAGGAAAAAATTACAAGATTACAACCGTGGAAGATCGTATCCAAGAAAAAGAAGAAAATAACCACCACCCACACACTGACAGCTCCAGAACATAGACACAGGAGAAGGCTAGCACCGAATCAGTCGCCGCTAAACGTGACCGGCCGCCACTAGGGCAACAAAGGTATAGAAGTGGGATCGCCTAAATCGTAACCCTAACAACCGACACCAAACTCCACTCAAGCCACATCTTCAGGATTGAGGAAGAGAGGGTGCGAGAGAAGAATGGAACCGCTCCCCTCCCCCCTAAGCCCTCTGACATGGCCAACTTGTATAAGCTAGAGCGCCGCCACAAGAGGGCATGAGTCTAGAGCGAGCTTGGACTAGTTTGTCTGGGAGGTTTCGGCAAGGGGGCTGCCTAGACGATGTCTCCAAGGAGAGGAGTGACGGAAGCACCGCCTCCACTGTCCATCAAGGTCTCAAAGAGAACCAAGACTAGGTTCTCACCCTACAGCCTTGCTAGAGAAGATGGCACGACAAAGTCCTCAAGATGGGAAGTGATGCCCGAAATGCCATCGTTGCCAGCCCGGCCAAAACAGGGCTAGGTTTTCACCCGTCGCCTGCCTATCGATAGTTGATACACCCTTGCTTCATCACCATCTAAATCAATCGTCGGCGCATGGGCACTGCTGCACCGATGCCCCCTATCAGCCAGCCTCCGCGGGCTGCCACACGACCACCCTCGTCGCGCGCTCCATGTCGGCCTCCAACACGCATCCTCGTGCCACACTAACCTCCCGCTGCCAACCACGCAAACTCACGCCGCATCGGCCTCCCGCTGCCCCCAGCCACATAAACTCGTGTCGCGCTGCCTACCGTCGCCGTCGGCCTCACGCCACCTCCATGCTGCACTCGCCGGCCACGAGCCTCCACCCAGCATTGTCGACACATCCACTGCCAGCTACTGGAGCCGGCCTTCCACTGCCATCGGTGCCGTCCACGCGAAGCCGTCCATGGGCTCCCACTGCGCGTTGTCACCCCCACCACACACAGCCACCCTCGCCGGCTGCTCCCCGGCCAGATCTGCGCGGGGGCACTGGGTCTGGCCACGGGGGAACCGGATCTAGTCGGGGCGGGGCCGGATCCACCGCCTCAAGCCGGAGAATCCCCCGCCCGATGTGCACCGCTCCGCCAGCTGCCACCTCCCACCCGACACGCTCCGCTCCGCCTCCTGTGCCGAGGAGGAGCTTCGCTGGCTCAGTTTCCCCGCCGCTGCGTTCTTAGCTGACCGCGTGGTTTCCGATGGTGGGCTCTAGCGACGGCAAGGCAGTGAGAGGAGTGAGGAGGTGGTGGCGAGCGCGGCTAAGGTTTAGCCCCCGAGCCACCCGCGTGAGAGTGACGCAGGTGTGAGCTGGGAACCTCAAAAATGCAATGCTCGGTTTTGACTTTAGAGTTCCATGTTCTTGATGTTTTCGCTTTTTGCTGCCTGGTGTTTTCAGAGTTATCAAGTACTTGCTGGACGTTTTACAATGTCAATTCCTTAGCCGGGATGTGGCCTGTTTCTCCGCAGCAAAACTCTTTTGGTGGCTATTCGCCTATTCCTCTTTTAAAAAATTTAAAGGGTTTGTTGGAACCATGCCACCCTAATTTTGTAAAATTTAAGATATGCCACCCGTATCTCAATAACATGTAGTATCTCAAAGTACTTCACAGATTTTGCAACAAAGTTAGCAAGAGCTTTAATCTCTTCGAAAATTTTCTTTCCTTTTTCATCAGATTTCTGTATTTTCAAATTACATTCTCAAACAATGATTCTGTATTTTTCATATGTTTTATAATCGATTGTTTTAAACTTGTGTTCAAATCAAAATTTTGTATATTTTTTCCATTTCTATGTTTTTTTTTCAATTATGTGTTTTAAAGGAGCCCTAATAGAGTGGATGCACTGCTAAAAAAAATAATTAGATGTTTGTTGGAAACCCCGCATAGAACACAGATGAGAGAAATCAACCGACACCTTCGAGGTCCCAGGAAAAAAAAGTAGCTTGATTCAAGCTAATGCATCGAGTAGCTTTCAATCACCCATGAGATTTCCATCCAAGAACAAAATCACAAAGTCAAGAACAAAGCAAACATCTACGAAAAAGCATCCATGAACAAAATCAATGAGAAGCCGCTACCGCCGATGCCAGATCTGCCCACGAGAGCCACCACCTTCATTGGATCTGCCCATAGCAGAAGCCGTCACTGTCGGATCCACCCACAGGAGCCCCATTCACTATCGCCGTCGCCGTGGTCGCAACGGCGGAACCACCCACAGCGGGGGAGAGAGGAGACGAGGGGAGGAAAGGGAGGGCCTGAAGAGGAGGTGGAGGGGAGGATGGGTAGGTGAGACAGTGGGAGCAAGTGGATAAGAACTGCTGGCTCCCTCTCCCTTTGTGCTAAAAAGGGATGACTAGAAAATCCTGGCTCGGCTTGATTATTTTGGTGCCGGCTTTTCTAGAAACCAACACCTATAAAATATTATAGTTGTCGGTATCAATGGATATTGGTGTCTTATTTTCTTTAGAACCAACACCTGTAGTTATTATATTTTTTTCATCCCGCTGAGTTAGGAAAACTTTAATAGTCAAACTAGCGAATGATAACCTTTTTGTTTTTTAGCAGCACGACCGTTTTTTAGCGCAAAACAGTTAACCAAATTTTAGGGTTGCTACAGCCATGAAAACGAAATATAAAACAACAGGAAAGTAAAGAATAATAAAATAGTAAATTGATAATTGGTTATTGTTCTAAAACTGATATAATACCCTAATATTTATAGGTACAACTAAACACTAGGATAATATTCGCCCCCTACGCTGATCCCATACAAATATCTTAGCCGAATGCAGTTAAATCAGAATAGATCAGTTACCAATATTTATCTCTATCTTTCCCTCACATGCGCAGACCTGCTTTTCATCGAACGCAGCCATAATTAACCAGCGATGCCACCTGCCACAGTACTCACACGCACACGCGCAGATCCTCCAGTTCGCCAACACGCCGTCCACCTACCTTCACTTCTGCCCCAGGCCCCCAGGAGCCCACACGCATGACTCATGTGCCATCGATCCATTCCATTATACTGCAATATACTCCACAAACATCGTATCAAATATACACATGCATAGGACATTAAATATGGGAAAAATAAACCAATTACACAGTTTACATGTAAATTATGAGATAAATCTTTTAAGCCTAATTACGCCATGATGCTACAGTAAACATTTGCTAATGACAAATTAATTAGGCTTAATAAATTCGTCTCACAGTTTACAGGTGGAATCAGTAATTTGTTTTATTATTAGTCTACGTTTAATACTTCAAATGTGTGTCCATATACTTTAAAGTGTTTACGCCCAAAGAACTAAACAAACCCTTAAGTCCTTAAGTTTACTTGGAAAGACTCCATCCATCAACATGTAATCTGTCCATTAAATGCCATACACATGTCCGAATGCCAGATCAAGTACCATGACCACCCAATGATTTGTGATGCACCGTAGATCCATAAGCAAAATTACGTCACATGTATGTGACAGAACCACACTGACAAGTGAAACGTGATTATGTTGACAGTATGAGGTGTGTATATGTATGAATACGGTAGTCGCCGGTGGTAATGGGAGCGTAAGTTAATCGACAAAGGACCAGGCCCTGATGTCGGAAATTTTGTTTTTCTGGTTTAAGAAAGACATTGTACAACCTACAAAGCGGAAAGACAAGTACCGACAAACCCGCTTTGCCGAAACATTGGTAATGTAGTTTTTTTTTTTTAGCAATCACATATAGATGTTTAGAGTTGATGTTATTTCTATCTTTGTTTTAAGTAATCTTATTTTTAATCAAGCGGTTATTTGTAATTTGTAGTGATTCGACTTGCATCCTTTGTAATTATTTGGTTGTAACTGTTTTGAAGCAAAGACAGGAATGAATTCCATTGCCTAAAAAAACTAAAAGCAAGAGTGCAATTTATAATTAGGACGGAGGAAGGATAACCTTGAGGGATCATTTAGTTGAATGAAATAAGATTGATGATATTGAACTTGGTAACTTGCTCAAATGCTCCCCAAGCAGCAACCCACCCGGCCACTAGCTCATATATTTCTTTCCGTACCATTGTCTTCAATACTCTTCACTATGTCTAATTAAAGCATATTGATTACTGAATGTTCTTACAGAGAGTGCAATGCAAGGAAGTAGCTGAACCACTTGGAAAGGTAATTGATTGATACTGTTTATAGTTTGTACTACATGCTATATTTTTGGATCATCTCCTCAGTTGTTACATCTCCTCCGTTGGTATATATGTAAGCCAATTTGTCAATTCACTACACGTATCTCGTGCTCAATTTTATCTCTTGGGTTCTATTAATTTGTTGGTTGGATGAGAATCGCAAAGCCATGAGCCCCATGAACACTAGTAGATTTCCAGTAGAACCAACATACGCAGCGCAGATCGCAGGTGTTCTTGTCTAGATTGTAGATTTCTAATAGAAGACCAACCTTCGCAGCGCAGATCGCATTCTGTGCCTTCAACTTGTAGATCGAGAACTTAGCCAAGGAGGCGCCCTGATGTGTAAGAGGTGGCTCCTGAACCAGTCGAGCTTGACATAGGCTAGAGGGGAGGAGAGTGTGGATCGATCGAGGTGATGCAATCAGGGAGAGCTCTTTTTCTTTTTCCTTTTTCCCTTCACTCTAGTAGCGCATTGCCCATTATTAAGTCCAACAGCGATATGACCACTCCAATAGTGATCATTGTTTCTGTGCTTGTGACACATAAACTCCTTATGGGCACTGGGGTGCCATATATATATAAACAAAACTAGTTAATACTCCGCGCTTTGCTACGGGATATGTGGACAAATACATATTATACATTATAGAAATGGTAGATGTATATGTTTAAATAATATGAAAATGATGTGGAGATAATTATTTGACATTGATTGCATAGTGAGTTCTAAAAATAAATAAAATTGTAATGATATGTCATGCTTGTATGATATTTAAAATATTTTAGATAAAAATTGCTAGTGGGTGATGATGTGGCACAATTGCATGTGATTTAAAATATATAAACAATAATTGCTAGTGGGCGTGATGGTGTGGCTTGTGGCACACTTACATGTTGAGCTTTAAGAGTTAGTGGGCATTATTTTTGTAGATAGGATTGGCACGTTAACCCCAATTTAATCACTTCTCTTTTGAGACTAGGAACGCCAAGCAATTTGATGAACTTCCTAGTTATAAGTTTTTAGAGATCACACGGTGAAAGAGGATAAGAAATTTAGAAGACCAAATAATATGTATATCAATGTCTGGTGAACATGCATGTTGAATGAATGGGTCAGACTGGACCACCTGGTTTGAGTATGTACAGCAATGGACATGTGATTCATCGCATAATTTACCACAATTAATGTACAAACTTAATATATCCACTTTATTTGCATCTCAGTTCCTTCACGTATGTCTGTGTGTATACACTGATAGGATACCTCTTCTTCTTGTCAACATGGTAATCAAGTCATGCTATCACATACACAAATCTCTTGGTTTAATCAATAAGAGCAACACAACCACGAGCTATACATGATCGCAAACAGCCGCCAACCTGATTGAGCGATCATTTATTTTCCAGTACCCTAAAACTGGTGAGATGACAGCGAACTCCATGCTAAATTGTCAATGCAGCAGTAGTCATAATGTTCTAAAAAAAACAGTAGTCGGAATAGGCGGCGTCGAGGAACCATGCGTTGTTTGGTTCGGATTGCAGCACATGACTGAACACGTGGCGTGTTCGGCGAGGAGGCCCTACCTTGATTTCATGAAGAGGGACCATACGCGGCCTCTCTAACTAGCTCCCTTGTTACAATGCTTCTTGGCCTCCTTTTGAGCTGCATTGTCACTTGGTGCATGCCTCAGTTGATCCATAAGCAAAATGAGTTGACGAAAAGTATGCTGTATAAACTGTTTATGTTGTGCCTTTCTGTTGAAAAAAATGAGTGCAGCACAACCTCGAAAACTGAAATAATTGATATATAAAATGTTAGAGAAACGTATTAAATGATTATACAGAGAGTATGTCGAAGCATAAATAGCAAAGTAAAATAAACGGATGAAATATAACCTTAAGGGAGCATTTAGTTTTGCAAAAACGAGACCAGTGGTAATTAACATTTCCTAATGAGATCCTACTAGGAAAACAATACCTACTCTATTGCAAGAGATCAATAAAATGAGAGAATCCAATTATGAGGATCCTATGTTCATAGCTCACATTTTCATGTAATGGTGTCAAATATAAAAATTAGTTACAGTAGCTCCATGATTACAGTAAGACCAAACAACATCGCTCCATCTCCCAACGTTGCCTAAGCGCAGCAACCTATCCTCTGTTAGCTCATCACTTTCCCTAATCCTTTCTTCATCCTCCTTTGCTCACCATGTAAAGACATATATAACAGATATTGAATGAATGTGCTTACCAAGGACAATTGAAGGTAGCAGCTGAACCACTCAAAAGGTAATTTGATTATGCGGGTAAAGACTCGTACAACAAGATGTTCTTCATCTTAATTGTTACGTTGCCCCCCCCCCCCCCCCCCCCAAAAAAAAAAACACCCTAAGTAAATATATGTGAACCCACATTCCAGCTTTAGCTCGATTCCTGCGCTTTCTTGCTCACGTTTGTCTCTTGGATTCTATTGATTTCTAGGATGAGAATAACAAAGCTATGAACAATAGACACTCGTCTAAACCTAATCGGCTATTTTATTTATTCATACTGTCGAAAAAGAAATTCGGCAATAATAAAAGGGGATAGCGCACGAGACCTAAAAGTGGATGGATGCGGAGACAAGGATTTAGACAAGTTCAGACCCTCTCAATGAGAGGTAATACCCTACTCCTGTTTGGAGATTTGAATCCACCGGGTGTATTATAGATCTGACGATCTAATTGTGAATCATGCCCCCTAGAGGGCCTCGATTCACACCGCATATGCTACATATTAATATCAAGTCGCTTGGTTGACTATAATTATTGAAACCACTCAGTTGGTTGGATTATTTATTCCTTGACTATATGCTTGGTTTGTTCAATTAACCACATAGTCGGGGGCTACACCTATTTTATTTTTCAGCCCTCCACAGTCTTCTGATTTGGTAAAACTACTCGGGAGACTATGGCAAAGATGATTGAAGCACTCGGCTTTGGAGTATTCTGGTTCGAGAGAAGATTATCTTTTCGACTGTGAAGGTCTCAGGGGCTACTGTGGAGATTATGGGTACCCCATACCCACACGACATGGTTATCCGACTGGTTATAAGGGATAACTTATATCTATGGAATATGTAACAGATCATGACTTGGGTATTACGTTTCCTTGTATATTACGGAACGGCCTAAAGTCCTGGTTTGATAATATTGTAAAGTAGATTTAGGAAACCGATACCGTATTGGTTAAGGTTTCTATCTTGTAATCCTGCCCCCATCCTATATAAGGTGGGCACCTGAATAACATGATCCGAGTGATATACCGACTACTTTGTAAAATATGATGAGTGTAACCTAAAGTAGGCTACATCATTGAAAATTCACATAGCAAAACAGCTATAAAGAAGCTTGTATGTTGTGAATAAAGAAATTTCCAAAGTATTGGGCATACGCCATGCGCACACTGCTTTAACAGATGTGCTTAAGTCCCTAAAAGACACATGGTTTCACCACACCCGGAAATATACGGCATATGTGGTGTGAAATCCGAGTAAATAAACTCATAAAGGATTTACCAACCGTCTGGAAAATGACCAAGATATATAATCAGCCTAAGCCATAATATTGGTCAATAAAAATGCACATTTACGTGGCGAAAAGCAATGATATTGTATCCAATCAATTGCTTGATAAACCCAAACAGCGTCATGACTATATAAAAAAGTCAGCGGAGCAGCTATATAAAGCTTTACTGTTTGACACCTTTTAAGGTGCATTGTACCAACTCCTAAAAAGTTGAGTAACTGCGGTATAAAAGGATTTTAAGGTATTGGGCACTTGATCACGCACACTTTGGCCTAAGCAAAAAGTGCCTAAGTCCCTAAAAGAACG